AGCAGTGGCAAGTGCCTCAGCAAAGCTACCACTTACCCTTCAGCCCCTGTTCTCTGAGACCTCCAATATCCCCCAGTCCCAGCCTGGACTCCCTGAACAAGTCTGCTTTTCAACTGGGCCTAAACTCCAGTGAGAGCACAGAACTCCTCCTATTCTCCTCTTTGGGCTGCTCTGGGGCCATTGCTTTTTCACAGGACACTCAACACGTAAGAACTTGAGACTCAAGAATAATAGCAGGATTCCTGGTTATCCCATAAGTACATGGGCTGACTATACACCCACCTGCCTATCCCTGAGGGCATCATGTAGAGGAATCCTAGACTGAGAGCTTTGGCACTACTGTCCAAGGACGATGGATGACTCTGATTTGCAACCAGAGACCTAGGGCTTTATGAGGCTGTGTTGTGGCTCATCAGGAATTGAGAAGGCAGAGAGGTCTGGGAGACATCATCTCACCAGGGTATCAAATGAGCACTTAAGGCAAACTAAGTGTCAAGTGTGGTAGAGCACAAAGAGGCGAAGAGAGCCCTTCTCCTACAGAACCTTCAGACCATATGGACTAAGAGACAGGCTCTGGGACTGGATACTCATGTGCAGGTTGGTAAACCTGACAGGTGGGCAGTGAGGACAGGACGTCAGCCTCTTCACTTCTGTGCCAGAGTGGACAAGAGCTGCGGAAAGCACAACAAACCTGTAGTCAACGGGCTGAAGTGCTGGCTTGCCATCCTTATTTTTGTTTTCTCTGGGAGGGAAGCTCCAAACGTCTCAGGTTGAAGTACACTATAACTTAGTGTTTATAACATAGAGAACAATGTAAGGTTTTGTTTGTTTGTTTGGTTGGTTGGTTTTCCGAGACAGGGTTTCTCTGTATTGTTTACAATGTAAGTTTTAAACATGGTTTTTCTCCACAGAGTCTAAAGTTCTTTTTTCTAAAAGTCTAACATGAGCCATCAATGACATCTGCGACAAGGAGGTGAGCCTAATCCATACGTGTTAGAGGGCTTGAGCTCTGCAAGACTCCAGCCTGTGGGAACTGAAGCCACTGAGACGCTAATGAAACTGTGAGGTGAAGGGATGCTCCCCAAGACCTCTTACCGCTGTACACATTCCTTCACCACCTCATACTGGCCAATGGAAGCAGCTGTGTGAAGATCCAAGGGAACATCCACCTCCTCGCGGCTGACCTGTGCACCAAGCCCATACCACATGGACAAGCTGCGGTTCAGGAGTTCCGGCTCGCTAGCTTCATCGCTGAGCTCAGACATGGCTGTAGAGGGAGGCCCAGTGGTTAGTCCTTCCTCCCTGGATGTTCCAAGAATGAAATACTTCTACTAATGGAAGGCTATCATCTCATTCCTAAGAAACTAAAGCCACTGAGGCTGACTTAGCTTTCTTCCAACAGCAGCACCATCACAGGGCCACTGGCAAGCTTGCCACCAGACAGAAGACGGGAGTATCTGCTTCCACTACGGGTTCTACAATCACATTTCCCAGAGGCCTGAAAACCCCTCTTTTGCTAGTAAAACAGTGCAAACTGAGTTATTTAGCACTATTTGCTCAATTTGAGTATGTAGCAAAATTTACATCTGTGTCTAGCATCTCCAGCCCCTATTCCTCACTAACAGACGCAGATGTCTAAAAGGGATACTGCTACAAATACACGGAAGCTGGTTGTGGTGGCATACCTCTGTCATCTCAGCACTGGGAAGGTGAACAGAGGCAGGAGTAGCATGGACTTAAGGGCAGCCTGGAGTACATAAGTTTAAGACCAGTGTGGCTACACAGAGATCCTCTCTCAATAAAACTAAGAGTGGGACCCTGAAAGATGGCTCTGGTGTTAAGAGCACAGAGGACCCAAGTTCAGCTCTCTGAACCTGTCTAGTGGCTTGTAACCTCCTGTAACTCCAGTGTCAGAGGATCCAACAGCCCCTTCTGGCTTCCTTGGGCATCTGAATTCATTGGTGTACACACCACCCCCAGATACATGCATACTTATAATTTTAAGTCTTTTAAAACAAACCAGGGCTGGAGATGGCATAGCAGTTAAGAGAGGATCTGAGCTCAATTCCCAGCATCCATACAATGCAGCTTAGAACTGCCTGTAATTCTAGCTCCAGGGGAATCCAACACTCATATGCACATGCTCATTTGTGCATACAAACAAATTAAAACAACTATAAAATTTTAAATTAAAACGTTTTTTTCCGCCGGGCGGTGGTGGCGCAAGACTTTAATCCCAGCACTCGGAAGGCAGAGGCAGGTGGATCTCTGTGAGTTCGAGACCAAGCCTGGTCGACTGAGTGAGTTCCAGGACAGGCTCCAAAACAATACAGAGAAACTCTGTCTCGAAAAGCCAAAACCAAAACCAAAAAACTTTTTTTTTCCGAGACAGCATTTCTTTGTGGCTTTGGAGGCTGTCCTGGAACTAGCTCTTGTAGACCAGGCTGGTCTCGAACTCACATAGATCCACCTGCCTCTGCTTCCCGAGTGCTGGGATTAAAAGCATGTGCCACCACCAACCGGCAAATTAAAACTTTATAAGGACTAGACAGGCAGTGGTTGAACACTTGCATATCCACAAACAAGCCGCATAGAAGGCTATGCATGGAGACGCCATAAAGTATGGCACTCGGGAATTGGAGACAGGAAAGAAAAAAAGAGGAAGAGGAAGGGGGAGGAAAGAAAAGTAGGACAGGAAGAGGAGGAGGAAGAAATCCCCCTAGCACAGACTATAGAATGTGATCCCTGATGTTTAGCAAATGTTACCCGAGCAAAATCTACTTATGCAACTCTGTTAAGTAGGAAAAAATGGGCCACCACAAGATGACAAGTGTGTAAGTCCTTTATTCTGGGGAATCCTACTCAATCCAAAGCCAAGCCATTAACTTCCTAGGAGATTCCTAAGTCTAGAAGCAACAGGAAGCTAGTACAGAAAAGGGAGAAGAGAGTTCTGGATATAGCTCAGTTGCTACAGTACTTGCCCCACTGTATAAGGCCTTTCATCCTGAATCTAATCCCTATCATAGCAGCAAAGGGGGTGAGAGGTAATGGGAGAGGATACAATGGCGGTTCACAGTGAGGAGGGTCTCACCTTCATGTTCTGTTCTCACCTGTGTAAATGGCCACTGTTTTGTTCTGAGACAAGTTGTCACTATTTGTAAATCAGGCTCAACTTAATCTCACAAAGACACACCTATCTTTGCTGAGATTAAAAGCACGTGCCGCCATACCCAGCTAAATGGCCACTGACTGGAACTAAGGATCCTTGGGGGCCACCTCAGTGACCCCAAACCACTTCAAGTGGCAGAATCACTCCAGGACCATATCATGGTGCCCTGGCAAGGTCCTTACTCTCAGAGGTTGACACTGGCCTGGACCTGACCCAACAGAGTTGAGCATAGCACAACAGCAAGTTGTAAAGATCTGGGCCCACCTGGGAGTCAGGACCAATGCAGGAGAGGGTACAGAACACCGATACCCATACTCAAGAATTCTGGCAAACCCAGAAGGAAGCGTGTACCCAGAAAGTATTAGTTCCCTGCTCCTAAACACCCTAGCATTCTTCAGTGTTGGTGAGTACCAAAACAGACAAAAAGCAGCACACTTCCAGATGGAGGCAGAGGATCAAAATCACAAACCGGCTTGGGCAACTTTGTGAGATTAGAATATTTAAAAAGCAGAAAAATGGTTGAGGCTATATCTCAATGATAAGCATTACATATAAATAGCTTGCAAGACCTTAAGTTAAAAATAATAATAATAAAGGGCAAACCACCAATCTGGGGGACAGTTTGCCAGCCCTTGCTGTGTGCTGGAGAGGTGAAAACCGGCTGCTTTCTGGAACCACTGGCCTCTCCTGCTGCAGAGTCTAAGCAAAGGAGTACCTCAGGCCCACAGGTGAGACTCCTGAGCCCGAACCAATAGAGGAGACACATGCTCCCCTAATGGGGACACATTAGCAGAATCCTGGAAGGGCTCACTCCTGTTAATTCCGGCTCTTGGGAGAACGAGACAGGGCGACTTTGGAGTTCAAGACCAACTTGGGATACATGAGATGCTTACTCAAAAAACCACAAAAAAACATACAATCTGCCGGGAGTAGTGACACACGCCTGTAACCCCAGCACTTGGGGAGGCAGACGTCTGTGAGTTCCAGGACAGCGTGGTCCACAAACTCAAAAAAACAACCCCCCAAAAATCGACTCGAGCAAAACAAATGCTTCTACGTCTTCTGCACCTCACTACCAGAACTCCAGTTAGCAGCAATGATACTCGTTACTCTTTGAAAAAGTTTTCTTTAAAAAAAAAAATCCCATCCTGGTGGCAACTGTCACTCCTCTCCTTCAAGAGATCCGTCAAGGCCTCGAGGGAGACCTTGCAGCCCAGAAGCGCGGCGGCGCGGTTCCGACCCTCTCGGCTCCCGGTGACCGTGCGCGACCACGGGCTCCCGCCTGGCTGAGCACTCTGGCAGGCACCTCGCGTGACCCATCAGTCCAGCTCCAAGGAGCCGGGCCCACGTCCCCAAGCCCTGCGAGCGCCGCGGCGGGCCGCCGGAGCGGACTCAGGGCGCCTCAGGCACCGCCTCTCAGAGAGCCCAGCCGGGCCCGGCCTACCTGCGAGCACTCAGGTTCCCGCGCCACCCTCCAGACGCAGCTGCACGCTCCCTCACCGGGAAACAGCCCTGCGCCCGGCCCACCCCGGAAGTGACTGTAGGAACGCGCGGGGCCCTCCGGGAAGATGGCGGGCGTCCTGTTATTGGCCCGCCACAGCAGCCAATGAGATGGCAGCGCTCAGCAAAGGAGAGGCGAGGCTGGTTGTGTCAGGGGCGGGTCGCCCGGTCGCGGCGGGTGGTCTTGTTCAACCCGGGGACAGAGCGAGTGGACCAGCAGAGCGGCCGGAGGCGAGTGGGAAACCGCGTGGACCCACGAGACGAGGGGTTGATCTCGGCTGCGGGCGACAGGGAGTGCGATCCTCCCCTCTTTTGGCGCCGGCAGGTTTGTCCCGCTACCTTCCAGTCACCTTGACGACGACGCCTGGCGCGGGGCGGGGCGGGGCCAACCGGCTTCCAGAAGAAACCGTGAGCCCGCCCGTGCTCTTTCGTCTGTGTTCAAGCTTTCCTTCAACCCCTCCGCTTTGTGCACCTAGAGAACGGTCAGTCTCCCCCGCTCTCAGGGAGCAGAGCTGAACTGTAGCCTCACCTCCGTGATTCCGTACCCCTCTGCCACAGCCCCTGCCCTGAAACATCCGGTATACCAAAAGCGTCCTCATCGGCGGCTCTCAGTTCGGGACCGCCAAGCCCCCACTCACCTCCCTGCTGTTGCCCTGGTTCGGCACCGCTAGCTTATCTGCCTGGTCCGCTAGGCCTTCACGCACACTTCTAAAGTCTCTTTGTCCAGAGGGTCGAGCAAGGTTTTTAGGGTGAGATACAAAGGGTAGGGTTGAGCCAGCGACTCATTTGAGTGATGATAACTAACAATCTCCTGGATAATGCATCTTAAAATCCCTAACTTTCAAAGATTTATTTTATTTTTAATTGCATGTAAGTGTGTGAAGGTGGGTATGTGTACTCGAGTGCAGGGACCAGAGGACACCAGAAACATAGGATCTCCCCGAGGTTGAAGTTACAAGTAGTAATGGTTTTGAGGACCGGATTCTGGTTCTCTACAAGAGCAATAAAGGACACTCTTAACTGCTGGGCCATCTCTTCAGCCCCTAAATCCCTTTTCTCAGTGCTGGAGAGTTGGAGTCATGTCCTATCCATTATATATGCAAGCCAAATGCTCTACCAAAGAGGTTCGTCCCTAGACCTTAACATTGATTCAGCCTCTCTTTGCTGTATACCAACCTCTCTAAGTCTAAAAATGGAGATAATAATGTTTGTTATATAGGAGATATGTGTGTGTGTCTTAGGGTTTCTATTTGTGTGAAGAGACACCATGACCATGGCAGTTCTTATAAAGGAAAACACTTAATTGGGGTGGCTTACAGTGCTAGAGAAGGAGCTGAGAGTTCTACATCTGAGAGATCCGAGGGCAAAAGAAGTGAACTGTGCCACTGGGCATAGCTTGAGCATAGGAGACTTCAAAGCCCCCTCACCAAGTGACACTTTCTTCAACAAGGCCACACATCCTATAGTGCCACTTCCTATGGGGGCTGTAGGGAAAAGGGGCCTGTCAAAGAAACACACTTTGGCCCTGCAACCAGAACCAAAGAAATGTACCCTGACCCTGAAAGCAGTGCCAAAGAAACACACTTTGTCCCTGGAATCAGAGTCAGTGAAAGAAATGCACCCTGGCCCTAAAATTGGAGCCAAAAGACTAAAAAGGAGCAGAGAAAGAAACACTTTGGTCCTGAAACCAGAGCCAAATCTGACCCTAACCCTGTGCAGAAAACTAACCAATCCTCGAGCAGAGCTCTAGCACTGAAATCGGACCAATCCCTACCCTGAAGAAACTTCCCGGCCCCCGAGAATCCCTATATAAACCCTGTGTATGTTCAGTTTGTCTGGTCCAGCTGCCTTCCAATAAACACCTTCGGATGAGCTTTGGGTGAAGATCTTTTGCAGTGACGGAGCAGAGGTAACCCTGGGCAGAGCAGAGCAGAGTGAGCAGGCCTGTAACACTTGCCAGGGAAACCTTCCCTTGGCAGAGCAGAGTTGTTACACTCGGCTCCCCCGCTCTCAGGGAGCAGAGCTGAACTGTAGCAACTTCGCTGGAGAAACCTGCCGAGCATAACTACTACTCTAGGCTAACATCCCCAGCTGGAAGACCCTCTCCTGCTGGAGCAGAGCCAATACCCTGGAGAAGCCTTTCTCTGAGGCAAGGCTATAAGCTGCCAAGCTTACTGCAACCTGTGGTGGTCCTTGGCTCCCAAGCTCCAGGAAACCTTTCCACCTGAGCTGTGTAACACTCAGTATTCTGTGACTCCCGAGTGCCAGAATACCTGACCCACTCCTATTTCGATCTGCCTGAAATGCTTACAGGAGCCATTTTCTTTCAAACCACCACATATGTATGTATATCCATGTCATAGATTTGTATCTATATGTATATCAATCAGTATATGCACCTCTGTTTTCATATACGCACATCATTAAGCACGTGACATGCATATATATACAGACACCATGCTCTTATATACTCCTCACTGTACACATCCACACATACAGTCCTGTTACCCAGTAAAACAAGCTTGCAGAACCAAAAGGAAGTTGGTGGCAAATGGAAATCTGCAGGTGTGTTTTCATCGTTAGATGATCAAGGCTTTGGAAGGCTACACATGCTTGTTTGTCCTTGGACAGCTAGACATTGCCAGCTCACCCTGTGTACTCCACAGGCTCCTCTGCTGATGTTATATGAAGAGAGGATTCTTTGAGCCCGGGCCTCTATGACATCCAAAGACAAAGATGTGGTGTCCTCAACACTGTCTCCCTGGGATGCCATCCTTAAGGCTGCCAAAGAGCAGCTGCCATCCCTGGATTCAGACTCCGCCCTGGTGAGCAAGAGCTTCTCCCTGAATGTTGACTGTCCAACTTGAGCAAGGACAACTTTGGGCTTTCCTTTCTAGAGACCCCACTCTGATCTATTGGGTTTGTTGTCACTCATCAATCCCTGGGATTATTTCTGGGAACCAACTTCCTTTAGGATTCTTCCTGGGCTTGCCAGAAATCTTGAGTATGGGTATTGGTGTTTTGTATCCTCTCCTGCAGTGGTCCTGACTCCCAGCTGGGACCCAGGTGGGCTCAATGCCAAAGCCCAGATCTTTCCAACTTGCTGTTGTGTTATGCTCAACTCTGTTGGGTCAGGTCAGGGCCAGTGCCAACCTCTGAGAGTCATGACCTTGCCAGGGCATCATGATAAGGACCTGAAGGGATTCTGCCACTTGAGGTGGTTTGGGTCACTGACAATACCGGTGGCCCATTTACACAGGTAAAGGGGACACCTTGTGATCCACTGCTCAGAGACTCAGCACACAGATTAGCATAGGACATTTAGAGTGAAGAACAAGGATTTTAGAAACAAGACAGCTGATTATGCCCTACCTGGGCTTTTGCAATGACGAACATGACAGAGCTGAAACTCGGGCATTATCCAGTGCATAGTGCATCAGAATAAGTAAATGATGGCAGTACCTCAGTGCCCTAGTGCTGTCATTGCTTTGTGAAGAAGTCCCTGTAAGGTGGCAGGCCAGTGTCAGCTAAGTGTTAAGTCAGTATGAAAGTGAGCTGGCCTACATTTCTAACTACCCCTTCACTACCATTATTCAGTGCCTGCATTGATGTAGCACCTGCTATGTGCAAGGTCTTGAGCATAGCCTGATGGAAACGGAAACTCACACCTCACCAACATGAGGTGGTGCTGCTGAGCCTGTTTTTGAGTTAGTCCTTTGTAGAGAACTGATCTTCCCAAATACGCCTGGGGAGGTGGGGCAAATCATGGCTGCCTTTTCCTTTGAAACCCCTGGTCTGTCTGCAGTCTGACTGTGAGGAAGAAGAACCCTTCATCTTTCAGCGAAACCAGCCCGTCCTGATTCCAGACCTGGCTGAGGAGCTGGCTGAAGACCCTGCTGGTGTTGAATCTGGAGCCTGGGTTGCTGTAGGGAGGAGTTCTTCACCTGAGGTCTGTGGGACACAGGCTTTGGAGACCTACTAAGCCAAGAATCCTGGAAGGGTGGTGGGGGTGGTGATTGCAAGTCTCACAAGGATTCCACCAACAGCATAGATCTAAAGTGCTTAAACCACTGGTTTTGCCTTTTCCTCCCCCCAAGAACAGCCTAGCATTGGAGTATTCAGCACATAAGCATGGCACCTGCCAACACTGTAAGCACATTTGGTTGTCTATCTGTTTTCGCCTGCTGTCTTTCTTATTTTCTTCCAAGACACTCTGTCTAGCCATTGTGACAGCTGCCTGTCTCAAATGTCCCTCCCTAACCTAGCTAATTCTTGACCGCTCAAGCTTGCTGAATGTTCAATGACAAAGTTCTCCAGCAGGAAGCAGAAGGGCAGTGTTCCATAAAGGCCATCACCATGGCGCCCAATGCTGGCTACCTTAGTAGGAGGTTGGGGGGAAGGGTGAAACACAGCACAGACTTGGGCTTCCCAGTCACAGGAACTGCCCATCCCCACCTTTTTTTCTCAGGTCCCTGGGGAACACCAAGAACTGTATCTAAACCCAATGATTCCTCCAGACCTGATGGCATAAGCATGTAATCTGAGCTACCTGGAAGCGGAAGCAGGAGCATCAAAAGTTTGAGGCAGGGGCTAGAGAGGATGGCTCAGTAATTAAGAGAGCTTGTTGCTCTTGCAGAAGACCCAGGTTTGGTTTCCAGCACCTGCATGGTAGCTCATAAGCACCTGGAACTATGGATCCAGTCCCACTTTTGGCCTCTGTGGACTCCTGCACACAGATGGTACACATAAACATGCATGTATACATATAAAATTACAAAAAAAATAAAACTCCAAAACATAAGTGGCTTGATGATGAGAATGAATTGCTATCTTAATAGATCCGATCTGCAGCTTTTATCTTTGGCTACCCCAACCTGTCAAACTTGTTCATTCTTCTTGATGTGGCTGTAACTAGCATACTTTCTGATGGAAACACTGTAGAGGCTAAAACCCATCTCTAAAGGCCAGTCTGGATTCCAAGAGCCACTCAACTGTAACATATAGTCTTCGTGCCAGCCGCCTGGGTCTGTTGCTGCTTAGCCCCCAAATAACACACGAGACACTGTATTAATTATGAAGCTGTTGGCTGTTTGCTATGGTTTCTTAATGGCTAGCTCTGACTTAATTATTAAACCATAATTACTATTTTATATATATATACACATATATATTTTTGGGGGGGGTTTCGAGACAGGGTTTCTCTATTGTTTTGGAGGCTGTCCTGGAACTCGCTCTGTAGACCAGGCTGGCCTCGAACTCACAGAGATCCGCCTGCCTCTGCCTCCGGAGTGCTGGGATTAAAGGTGTGCTTCACCAACGCCCAACTACTAATATATATTTTTATAAGGACCTATCTTTTTGAGGATGGCATCCTGAATGTCCTTTTTTCCCTGGGATTCACATGGCAACGACTCTCTTACTACATTTTCCAGAATCTTCCTAGACTCCTAGTCCCACCTATCTTGCTTCCCTATTGGCCAACAGTGTTTTATTCATTAACCAAAGAGAAACATACACAGAAGGACTACCCCCATCAATCAACTCTGAGTCATCTCCCTCTGCTCAGTTCTTCCTAGCATCATTGAGGCAAACTGGGTGTGCAAAGGCTGACCCATCTTCACACAACATTGTGTGAAGTCCAGCCCTCATAGAAGCAAGTGTAAAATAACACCCTTTGTCCTCCCCAGGAAAATCTGAAAGGCAACTAGGACTCTGGTCAGTTTAGGTGACATGATTTTCATGAAATGTTTTCTTTCCCATAAGGACTACTGGGAGAGGGGCAATAGGGAGTGGAATTGTTTTGGAAATATTGGCAATGTCTATATGACGTGACAAATTGTTAAACTAAAAAGTTTCAAAACAGGACCCATAAGATGCCTTGATGGGAAAAGGCACCTGCTGCCCAGCCTGATACTCTGCTTTCCATACTTGGGACCCATATAGTAGACAGAACTGACTCTCAGCTACCCTCTGACTCTTCTTAATCGTGCATATTCTCTGTGTGTGTGTCTCTTTCTGTGTCTGTCTGTCTGTCTACATATCTATCTCTAAAGTGTGTCTTTTCAGGTGCTCACAGAGGATGCCTCTTTTATCTCTAGCCATTTCTGATTCCTGAGAGACTCGCCATAGAACCCAGAAGTGGACAGAAGGTAGAACAGAAGGACTTGGCACTTCAGGAAAGAAAAGTCCCTGGCTGGGCTTGCCGGAGCTGTGTCAAGATCAGTCCTATTCTTGGGGAGGCTGAGGAGGGCCCACCCTGGCTGAAAGGCAACCTTAGAAACCTGTCTAACCCCAAAGAATCCCAGAGTCCCCCATGGACTTTCCAGGGAGAAGATACCACCTCTCCTTTGGAAGGAGAGCTGGAGACAGAGTCCTCAGATGTTAACAAGCACAGAGCCCTCCGCAGGGAAAGGCGGAAGATGATAGAGAAAGATATCCTTCAAAAAGTGACCCAGGCTGCCCACAACCCAGCCTGTGGTGACCAAGGCCAGACTCCAAAGTCAAGACCCCAGCCAGAAGCATCCTCAGAACAGTCTTGGGAAGGATGTCCTGTGCTCTCACTCCAGGTAGGTGTCTCCGTTGCTCAGCCTGCCCTCAGACCTGTACCTGCAGCATGGCCACAGTCCCGCCACACTGTTGAGGCTAGAGCCAGCCTCTCTAGGATCTTAGGCCCAAATCCCAGGTCCACTGGCCAGCAAGGAGCTACTGCTGTTACAGTATGTGGGGAGGCTGGCATGGAGCACCCTCAGCAAGAATTGGTGGTAATAGGAAGAGAAGCCAACTCTAACCTTCTTTAGAGGATACATAGACATGACTCCATACAGTCATGCATTAGACAGAAGCAGGTGTCCAAGTCAGACTACGCACATTAGCAAGAACTGGCAGGGACACAGACAGAGTCGATTCTATGAGATACTGCAGAAGAGAAAGGAGTGTGAAGACTATTGTGAAAGTGGATCTGGAAACCACAGCAGTGACTCCTTGTCCCTCAAGGGTGAGTCTGTTTCCCACTGTGGTGGGTGGGCAGCCTTGGGACAGCACTGCTGTGATCTGTAAGGTTACCTTGCCCACTGGACAGGAAGGCTATGAAGAATACCCTGGTTAGCTGGGCAAACTCAGTTCCTTCCAGGTTGTAAAGAGAAGCCTTCTTGCCAGCCTGGTTCCAGAGCCACATCAGTCCCAAATAAACACACAGGAGGCTATACTAATTATGAAGCTGTTGGCCTTGCTGTTTCTTACTGGCTAACTCTGACTTAAGTATTTATCTCATAATTGCTAATCTAAGTATTTCTCTTACCGGAGCTAAGTTCCAGGCTTCTTACCCCTATGGCAGCTACATCTTGACTCCCTGTGTTTCTCCTTCCCAGAGTCCTCCTCGACTCCTAGTCCCACCTATCTTGCTTCCCTATTGGCCAACAGTGCTTTATTGACATAATCACAGGACTTCCCCCATCACCAGGTGGAGGTGGACATATTGGAAGATGCTCCAGTCTAGCATGGGAAGGCCATACACCCCTATATCATGTCCTTTAACAGCTTACAGAATGTGAGCACACAGACATGCACAGAATTCTTCTTTACTGTCTACATAAGCTAGCAATTTCGTCCTGACCACCCTCACAGCTTTCATTCTTCCTCATTTATATGGCTGCAGAAATTGGAAAGGTTTCACTTAAGCATTCATTGTAGGTTCCTTGCTTCCTCTCCATCTGTGCCTGTAGACCCATCTGGGTCAAGCTCTCCAGTTTGAGCACCTGCTAGAACCATTGGGTTCTTAAAGTTGAAAAACATTTTAAACATCTTAAATTGGTATGAACCTGACAGTTCAGACAGAGGGGAAGGGCAGGATGTGCATTGGTTGGTAGATTGTTTGCCTTGCATGCATAAAATGCATGTGATGATATAGGCCTGAAACCCAGAACTTGGGAGGTGAAGGTAGGAGGATCAGACACTCAAGGTCAACTTTGACTACATAGAGATTTCAAGGATAGCCATAATGAGATCCTGGTTGAAAAAAACGGGTTCTCCTCCAGGTTAGCCATCTTTGTACCAAAAAGTGTTGACCCCAAAAAACTTAAGGAAGAAAGTGTTAAGAAATGCAGGTCTAGCTGGGCAGTCAGAAGGCAAAGGCAGCCTGGTCTACAGAGTGAGTTCCAGAACAACCAAGGCTACACAAAGAAACCATGTGTATTGGTGTGGTGTGGGTGTGGGGGAGAATGCAGGTCTCACCGCATAGGATGGGCTTAGTGTATAATCATTTACAACAGACAGTGCATTCATACACTAAATACCCAAACCCCAGCACCACTCCATTGTGCAAAGCAAGCAAGATACCTGTTTGGAGCTAGGTGACAACAGATTAAAGAGCTATATACTGTCAAGATTTATATTATGGGATCTATAGGAAGAAGGGGCTAGCTACTAAGGGGGCATACTTTTTTGTTTTGTTTTGTTTTGTTTTGAGGTAGGGTTTCTCTGTAGCTTTGGAGCTCTGGAACTCACTCTGTAGACTAGGCTAGCCTTGAACTAATAGAGATCCGCCTGCCTCTGCCTCCCAAGTGCTGGAATAAAAGGTGTGTGCTACCACTGCCCAGCTTTGGGGGCATAATTTGGATTGCTCTCTGTTTTGACTGATGAGATTGTATATTCATTTTTCCTACTGCCCATGTTCCTTTCCCATAATGCATCAATTTTAATCATCCGAATGCCAATTATGCACAGGTACAAGATTGCAGTAAATAGGGGGTTTTCCCTAAAAGGTTAGTAGAGACAGTTCTTCCTTTCTAACTAAACATCCAAAACCAGTTTAGGCAAGATAACCCCTTCTTCATACCTAGATACGCTGGGAATACACTTTAATGGAAACTGTCTAAATTTGATTATTACAGAGTTGAGGGGGCAAGATTTATACTATCGTCCAGAGAGATGTCGCTTGATGCAGGTGGGGAGTTTTAGGGGAGTTTTGAGGTTGCCAGGTGCAGTGTTTGAAGAGTTGTGCATCTGTTTAGTACATGCAGGTGAATGAACTACATCGCCAAATTACACTTGGGGTGTGGACAACCAGAAACCAAATGGAGGAGAGTGTCCCAAGCTAAACTGTTTCCTCTGTTTGCCTGCCTCACTACAATGGATAGCTCATGTTACCTTCTCCTGGCTGCAGCTGCTATAAAAGTAGGGGATCCTACTGTATCTGGGGCAGCTGACTTATCTGGCCCATGTTTGAAAGAAGAATGTGAATTGAGGAAAGAAATAGACAAGAAACAGAAGATAGAGTGGGGAGGGCATCCAGTAAATACTGTGATCAGCCCCGTTTATTACTCAAAGCTCTTGTGTACACCAATCAAAAGGGGGAAAGGCAAAAGACTTACTTACCGTGATACAAGGAACAGACAAATGTAATTACCTCCTTAATACCCAAAACATCAAGTAACCACACCCTGAACCAAATATCCTGTTGTCAAGGTAAGATATCCATTGGATACACCTTAGATCAAATATCCCATTGTCTAGGCAAGGCATAGAATAGCCACACCTTGTGTGTTTTAACCTTGAAGGAGCAATAATGGATTGAACTCTGTGACTTTAAGTCAAGATGGAATGGAGCCATATGTGGGCCTCCACACTACTGCAGGACCTTCCTGCAGCCTTGTAATCACCAGCTTTCTCATTTCAGCAACTTGAAGACTGGGATTTGGATTACATCCTTCAGAGTCTGCCAGGGCAACAGGACTGCCAGGGTGACAGTGCTCCCAGAACTGCGTGGTGGTTAGCTGACCGCTGCCAAAACCAAGGTCTGACCTTCAGCACAGAAGTGAGAGTGAATCCCCCTAAGTAACTCTTTCCAGGGCTCTCAGTGGCAGGGGCTGTGGGGTGGCCACGGCTCTTGCCCCTTACTCTCCTCAGCACATTCATTGCCCAGTCTTACAAAATACTTCATTCATTCATCATACATATGGCTGCCTGCTCAGCCAGGCACGTTCAGGCCTTCAAATTGACCTGCCCTGTGGTCTACCCTTTTTCTTCCTCCGGCTTCCTTCTTTTTCCTGTTCCTCTTCTGGAGAAAAGCAGAGCCCGTCTCGTGCTCCCTTTCAGGCAGCTCCAACATTCACACATCCTCATCCAATTTGAAAATGAAGGCTGAGGATATCATACTCTCACTGTGCTCATGCCCTTGCTATGAACAGTTCTGTTTGTTTGTTTATCTATTTACTTAATTGTTTTGATTTTTTTGAGACAGGGTTTCTTTGTATAGCCCTAGCTGTCCGGGAACTCTGTAGAATGGGCTGGCCTCAAACTCAAGAGATCCACCTTCCTCTGCCTCCCGAGTGCTGGGATTAAAGGCGTGCGCTACCACCGCCTGGCTGTGAGCAGCTCTGTAAAAGGCAGGCACTCCCCAGTTCTCCCCACTCATGCAGGCCCAAGAGAGATGCACACATCTGAGCTGAGGAGCAAGGACAAGCTAGGTATCTACATCCAATTCCAGACCAGACTCCACTGGACTGACAGCCACTGGGATTTTTGAAGCAAGAAGTTTTTTAAGTTTATTTTGATTTTTCTTCTATGTAATCGTTTTTCCTGTAGGTGTGTATGTGCCACCACATACACATCCATGCATGCACCAAGAAAAGACAGCAGAGCCCCTGGAACTGGAGTTAGATACAGTTGTGAGTCACTGCGTGGGTGCTGGGAATTGAACCCAGGTCCTCTGCAAGAGTAGCAAGTGCTCTTAATCATTGAGCTATCTCTCTCCAGCCCTACCTCTGTATTGCTTTTGAGACGGGGTCTCACTGTTTAGCCCTGGCTGACATAGAACTTGGAACTCGATGTATTGGCCAGATATGTTGAATGTAAAGAGATCTGCCTACTTCTGCTTCCTGAGTAGTGATATTAAAGGTGTGTACCACCATGGCTTTTGTTTTGAGACAAAATCTCACATGTAGTGCACACTGGCCTGGAACTCTTGGCAATTCTCCTGCTTCAGATTTCAAAGCTGCTGCCACTAATGAGCATGTGACAGTATGTCCTCTTCTGGGTGTGGTGGAACAGGTCCTCTGCAAGTCTGGCAGGCATGTATAATGAACGCCTTCTCTGGAGGGTGGCAGCCCTCTCTGGAAGGTGGCATGGTACAACCTGCTCTCTATTTTAAATGCTCATGGCTCTTTGATCAAACTGATCCTTTCTGTTTAGTTTTATTTTGATGAGACATGTAGCCCAAGCTGGCTCAGACTCATTATGTAGCTGAAACTGGCCTTGAACTCCTGAACTTCTTGCTTCTATCTCCCAAGTGGTGAGATTGCCACTTCCACCAGACAAGCTATTCCATTTGGAAATTTTCTTATGTGAACACATACCCCAGGATGTTCACTGCTGTGCACTTTAAAACTGAAAACTTGCCTGGCCATGGTGGCACACACCTTTAATCCCAGCACTTGGGAGGTGGAGGCAAGTGAATCTCTGAATTTGAGGCTCACCTGGTGTACAGAGTGAGTTCCGGGATAGCCAAGGCACACAGAGAAACCTTGTCTCAAAATAAAACTCCAAAAACAAACAAACAAAAACTCTGAAAACTTGTAAACAGCCTATATTCAGTAGGGGTAGCTAAATCAAGCTACTCAGAAACACTCAGCTCAATGAACAAAGTCTATTCATAGAAAGACATAGTGTGTAAAAAGATGAATGGGGGAGCTAGGGAGGTAGCTTAGTGACAAAATGCTCGACAGCATGCCCAAGGCTCTGGATTCTACCCCCAGTGCCCCCCATCCGTGAGACACATGCACACACATCTGTTCAGTGTGGTCACCTGTGACCCTATGTCACAAGGCTCAAGTATAGCAGCCCCTGTTGAAGACATGACTACCCCCTGACTTTGCCAAGTGGAGCCAGAAGCCTCAGAAAGATCTGGGTGGCGCACATTGGAGCCTGAAGCTCAGCCTCTGAGAGGCAGACCTGAACTAAGCAACCCCCTCTCCTGGCGATCTCCAGGGCACACCATTGGACTCTCGCAGGACACACTCCTGGACCAGCTGGCCCTCCTGTGTGCCACTCAGTCCAGCGTCTGCAACCCTACCTGGAAGGTTTCTGCTGACAAACCCAGAGACACAGAAGAACAGGGATCCAGAAGCAGGTGGGACTTCCCACCAGCCACACCCACAGCCAGTTCTTCAGAACCTGCCTGTCTCTAGGCAGTGTTAATTGGGCCTATTGGTGGGACACTTGGCATGTACTTTCTCTTTGAATATGGCATCTAATTAGGCAAATGCCCCATTATCTATTTTTACTGATGGGGAAACTGAGGTTCAGATTGCCATGTCCCTCCCAGGCCATCAATGGCAGAGCTGCGTGTGGAGCCCCAAAGCTGTGTCTCATCCCTGAACGCTATAGGCACTTTCTCTTAGCCTCCCACATGACTTCCCTGGGAGCAGCAGAAGTATCACAGAATCCTGCCCCTCTGGCCAAATTGATTGGTCTAGCCTTGGTCAGGTGAACCCAGCTTGGGTCAGAGGATGCAAGGGCTGTGGGCGGCCACCTGTCCTTCAACAGAGAGAAAAACAAGGTGGGGCAGAGTGAAACTGGGGATGGCAGAGATGGAGATGGGGTCCCCTGAAGCCCGAGATTCCCACCTTTCCCACACTGCTGCTTCTGCTGTTATCAGGAGTCTGGGGACTTCCCCCTGAAGGTGTGGGCTCTGCCTGGCTAGCTGAAGGGACAGACATAGGGAGGCCTGTGCTTTCTAGTCTGAGAGCCACCAGCTCCACTGCGGATACAGCTAAGGGCATGAGAACTGCTGACTTTTATGGATCTACTTGGATGATTTAGCTTGTGTTAAGTGGTCTCCAACTGAGTGGAACAGACTGACAGTTTATGTTTGATAGAGGACTGAACTCAGAGCCTCACACACACTAGGTACATGTTCTACTCTACATGGTAACCCAAGTTGTCTTCTTACTGTTTATCGTTAAAGTCTTGCTAAGAGGCTGGAGAGATTGCTCAGTGCTTAGGGGCACTGGTTGTTCTTCCAGACAATACAGGTTTGATTCCCAGCACCCACATAGTGATTCACAACTGTCTGCAACTCCAGTTCCAGGAGATCTGATGCCCTCTCTGGCCTGTGTGAGTACTATGCATACAAATAGTGGATGAACATGTGCAGGCAAAACGCTCATACACAAAAATCTTTTTTTAAGTACATGTATAATCTTGCTAAGTTGCCTAGGCTGGCCTTGGACTTTCTATCTTCCTGCCTCAGCCTCTTGAGCACTTGGACAGGCCTGCACACAAGCCTTGTTGATACACAGCATGTCAGACTTGCTCAGTTCTGGGAAGTAGTGCTGGCCTCTTCCAAAGGTGGCATTGAGAACAGATGGGTTCCACGCGCCCACCAGCACACAACAGGCACACCTTCAGTAGCTGCCATGAGCACAATATTAGACCCGCCCAGCGGGTGGCCGGAATCACATAGAAGGGCCGTCTCACCCCTCCCATTGCAGAAGTGCTTTAGCAGAGCCTGGCTTTCAAACTGAGCCAGCCCAGAAGCTGGCAGGGAGTAGGCGGCTGAAGACAGAGCCTCCCACGATTTTCATCGACCTGCGGCAGACAGAGCCGTCAGAACCACAAGAGCACCAGTCCCAGGAGAGGTATGCTGGCAATGCTAAGAACTGTGCCGGCCTGCCGTGGGGATGGGGGGTGGCAAAGATCATCTTGGGTAAGCACATTGTACTTTTCCTTCAGCGCATGGCAGGAAGCCCATGCTCCCTTAGCTTTGGCTGGCTACTATTCCTCTTGGATTCCCAGGGAGGTCCCTAGGTGAGGGGCAGTTCTGGAAATGTGGCTGTGGCACATCCTGAGAACCCATTTCTTCTGTTTGCAGCTCTGTATGTAGCTCCTCTGACAGCGAGGAAGAAGATGTGGAGGCAGCAGACGCAGTAGAGGGGGCAACCTCCCCGGACTGGAGGTAACCTTAGAGTCTCCTCCTCTGCATTGGAAGCTCCCTCCCTGTGCCCTGGTCCTCCTAGACATGTGGGCCAGCATCTGGTGTGGTGGGAGTGGGTATCATTGTGTTTTATAGCTTGGCATATAGGAAGCCTGTGTGGCCAGGCCTGCTGAATCCAGGCATCATGAGGGACATCAAGCTCTCCACCCAGCCTAGCCCCCACCCCAGCCTCTTTCCCCTGCTGCTGGTCCCAGCAGCAGTGAAGAGAAAATGGTGGGTCAGCTGTTAGCCAAATGTGAAAAGAGCTGTAAATTAAAGAGCAGTGCCCAATCAGGGGCATGCCTGAGGCCAGACTGTGGCCACAGGATGAATGAGAAGTGTGGGTCACAGCAACTCTGGGAATTTCAGAGCCCAGGCTGTAGAATGCGTAACAGAGCTGATATGTAGAATGTGGACGGACGTTCCAGGAGAACGCGGTGGGAAGTGTCTGGAGGGTCTCTGCCAGAGTCTGATACAGCAGCAGCTACACAAAGTGTTGGCTTTTCCTTTGCACCTGCTCCCACAACACTCCTGGCAAGGCCTTGCTCATTCAAGCAAAGGGAGCCAAGGTCAGTGTGTTCCTTTGTCCTACTCTGAGGCACTAGCTACCTTGTTGCCAGGTACCAGGCCTAGATCCTTCTATGAGGGCTGCAGCTCCAGCCAGGAGACTGGCCCTTCAGCTTATTGCTTCATCTCTTCAGGCCTTGATGTTTTCATCCGGACAGAGGAGAGACCTGAGGAGAGAACTGTAGTTCCTACCCCTGAGGACTCTAAGGCAATGCACATGGGAAATGCTGTGGATGCCAGCTATGTGGTGGCTCAGGTTTTGGTTTTGATTTGTTTTTTGTTTTTCGAGACAGGGTTTCTCTGTATTGTTTTGGAAGCTGTCCTGGGACTTGCTCTGTAGACCAGGCTGGCCTCGAACTCACAGAGATATGCCTGTCTCTGCCTCCCGAGTGCTGGGATTAAAGGCATACGCCACCAATGCCTGGTGGTGGCTCAGGATTTGGATGTTAAAAATGTTCCTTTTTGTATAGATGGGGAAATTAGCACACATCTGTAGACAATGCTCACCATAAGAACATCTCTGGTCCATGGTTTTGTTTTTTCCTTTCAAGACAAGAGTCTCACTCTGTAGCCAGACTGGTCTCAGACTCAGCTGTCCTCCTGCCTCACTGGGCCAGCCCACATGCTTTCCAGACATTTCCATCTGTTGGATTCAACCTAGCTAAGAACATGTTCTGTGGCCTCTACTGTTAAGTGGAGAGTCACCGTGTTGGTGCAACTGCTTCTGGCAAAGGCTTGATGCCTGTCTTAGTCAGGGTTACTATGGCTATGATGAAACACCATGACCAAAGCAACTTGGGAAGGAAAGGGTTTATTTCACTCATAGTTCCATGTAACAGTTCATCACCAAAAGCAATAAGGGCAAGAACTCACACAGGAGCTGATGCAGAAGCCATGGGGGAGTGCTGCATACTGGCTCGCTCCTCACGGCTTGCTCAGACTGCTTTCCTACAGACCCCAGGACCACCAGTCCAGAAATGGCACCTGCAATGGGCTGGGCCCTCCCCCATCAGTCACTAAAAAATGCCCTACAGTTGGATTTCATGGAGACCTTTTTTGTGTGTTTGGTTTTGGTTTTTTGTTTTTTGAGAGAGGGTATCTCAGTGTAACATCCCTAGCTGTCCTGGAACTCACTCTGTAGACGAGGCTGGTCTTGAATTCAAAGAGAACCACCTGCCTCTGCCTTTGATTGCTGGGATTAAAGACATGCACTACCACCTCCCAGTGTTGGAGGCATTTTCTTAATTGAGGCTCCCTCCTTTCAGGTGACTTTAGTTTGTGTTGAGTTGACATAAAACTAGCCAGGACAGTGCCCATTGCTAAGGGGAAAATCCACAAGGACTGTCATCTCCCATGCTTCCCAGTCAGACTGTGGCGGCTGCCAGACGCTGCTGGATGCATGCCCTTGCTTTGGAGTGGGAACTGATACTACATATGACATTCCTCCTTTTTCAGGGTTGGGAGGTCTGGCCTTCAGGTGCCAGGGGTTAGGTTGGTTTTTCTGTGTCACAGGGACTGTACAGGGAAGAGCCAGCTTCTCCAGCAGCTGAGGGCATTTCGGAAGGGGGCTGTTGCATCCCAGATATCTACCAGTGACAGTCCTGGAGGCCAAAAGGCTCAAGCCCCAGAAGATACAGCTGGATTACAAACTGGGAGGAAGAGACACATAAAACTCTGGGCTGAGAAGCAGAATGTCCTGGATCTAGGGGACCCTCGGGACACAGCCTGCCAGAGAGGTGCTGCTACCTGCTGTGGGCCAGCTATATTCAACTCAGGTAAAGGATCTGAAAAGCAGGCCGGGTGGCAGATTTCTAGCCACACAGCCCTGATGGTCCTTCTACAGCCCACCTGTTTTTAATAGCATGGGCCTTTGGGGTCTGGGACCCTCACTCTGGACCCCACCCAGCCAGTTTAAACACATTTAAACCTCTTTGTTGGTGGTGGTGTTGGGAACTGTATCCAGGGCCTCATGCATACTAAGCAATTACTCTAGCACTGAGCTTACATCTCCAGCCCCCATATTTAATCATATTTATAGTTTCCTATAGAAACTTTCCCGGGTTCTTGGATTTCTGGTATTTTGTGTACCTAAGTTAAAACATACATATGTCCATACCCATGCAGACTTGATGTACTTTTTGAAAAAAGGGGCAACAACTGAAATTTGCTTTCTTTATTTTTTTACCCAAGACACAAAAGCACACATAGGCTCCAGGTCATTCCAAGTTGAAGGTGGCACTGATCTTTGCTAGTCTGGAGATACCTACCAGCAATTCCAATACCAGAAGTCACACTGTGAAATGCAATGGTACCCACTCTCCCTCCTTGGTACCCAATGAAAGCCAAGATCTGGTCCCCACAGGGGACACCTGAGCCTCCTCCACCTGGTTACTTTGCAAGACATGTCTCCCCTCCCCAGACTCCATCTTTAGGGTCTTTCTGTACCTGCTTCCTCAGCCCCTTTGATTTCCTGTCTCCTCGTCTCACCAGAGTCTTCCCAGGCCTGCTCCACAGAAGAGCAGAGAAACCACTACCAAGGCAGGGCTTGGGTGGCATGGCAGGGTTCACGTGGCATTCAGCTGTTTTAGCATTGAGCTGTGGCAGGAGTGTTGGTGTGTGTGTGTGGGGGTGTCACTGCCAGTTGTCCTGCTCCTGAAGATAGACAAGGATCTTCATGTCAAGTCCTGAGCCACACAAAGGACAGGTCCTATGGCAGAATTACAGACAGATCACTGTTGTCAGTGGTAGCCAGCATCAAGTCTACAGAATTCTATCCCACAAACCCGTCTGATGCGGCCACGGGGACTGCACCATTAGGCCCAATCCCAAGACATACCCTGTAGAAGCCACATGTAAGTCAGGCCTCCACCAAGGCCACAGGCAGCCTCCCTGTAAGGGAGGCCAGGCTGCCCTGCCAAAGTGCAGAGGTCCAGGGCATCACAGCTCCACCTTCTGCCCAGCAGCTTCCACCTCATCCACTTTAGCCATCAACAAGTGCCTTGTTCCTAAACCCACTTTCTCCCAATTCTACCCCACTTAATGCTAGAAAACCTGTTGAGAATGACACAGTGATAGGAAATAAATTCTTCTGCAATTTCAACTGTGCCTGTCAATCACTGGCTTTCAAGGAAGTCTGGAGGGTGGTGGTGGGCAAGCAGACCGGGGTCCAAAGCCAGATCTACCACCTGGGCAAGGTCACCAAGCCTCAGAAGACCATGCAGGACATCAGAGGGAATGAGAAAACAAGCACAAAAGGACTAACAGTGGGGTCTTGGGACTGTAAAACTGACCGTCACCTATATAGGACCAGGGGCATCTCAAATTCTAGGTTTCCTCATCAGGAATGACAAGGCCATGAGGTGAAGACTGGATCCCAAACACGAACGGCCCCAGTAAGCAGTGTGTGGTGGGGAAAGGACTCCGTATGAGAAGCCCAAGAAATGCTCATGCCCATCAGATGGCTCTCTGCCATCAGCAAGGACAGGAACCTAGGGCTGGGGTTACATAGCCTGTGTCAGCTGCTCATGGGCAGGGCCCCCAGTGCCTCTTCTGTTTCTGTGTGCACCCGAGTGCTCTTGAAGATGGTTTAGGAGATACATACCAAAGCTTCGTTCTCTAGAGAACATGGGGTCAGGACAAGGACTGGCATTTATTATGAGAGTGAAGAAAAACCAAGAAACAATCCTGAGTAATGGTGAAAGCATAAAGTAGGTGACAAAATGAAACAACCAAAATGACAAGGGCTGGGGAGAGGGCTCAGCAGGTAAAGGCACTAGCTGCTAAGTCTGGTAACCTATGTTTGCTGCCTGGGACCCACAGGTGGCTGGAGACAGCCAACCTCTGACCTCCACATACACGCGGTAGCACACACCTCCTGCACATACATACACATGATACAAATGACAAACCGGGCGGCGGTGGCCCAATCCTTTAATCGCAGCTTTCAGGAGCAATAGGCAGACAGATCTCTATGAGTTCGAGGCCAGCCTGGTCTACAGAGCAGGACAGCCAAGGCTACACAGAGAAACATTGTCTCGAATCCCTCCCCGCCTCCGCCCCCCCAAAAAAAAATCCATTCACCTATCTTAGTAAAAGTGTACCTACAACACCGAGTTTTAGGCACTCAAGTAGGGACCGACACACAAGAAATCCAGAGATGGAATGGGAAACCAAACCTTTACTCCTACAGTTAGTTTAGTTCCCAGTACTAACCCAGGGGTCCAGTCTCCTTCGTCCTGTCTTTGAGGATGAACAGCGGGGCTCACACAGTAAACAGGATTCCCTGAACTTGGCCTCAGTCGACAGGTCTGCCCAGGCTCCGCCCCTTCTTCCCTCTATAACCACAGGTTTATAGCGGGGATCCTCCCTAGTTGTCAGTCTTGTGCCCTGTAAGGGGCTGCGGAAGTGGCATGCTTAGACTGAACCGGCAACCGGACTACATTTCCCAGACGAAGGCGGGCCGAAGCCTGCTGGAGGAAGCTCCAAGAACTTGGGTTGGATGCTGGCATTGGTGGCGCATGCCTTTAATTCCAGCACGCGAGAGGCAGAGGCAGGCGGATCTCTGTGAGTTCGAGACCAGCCTGGTCTACAGAGCTAGTTCCAGGACAGTCTCCAAAGCCACAGAGAAACCCTGTCTCGGGGGGAAACTTGGGTTGGCCAGAGCTTTTTTTTTTTTTTTTTTTTTTTGGTCAGGTATTCTGGCACTCGGGAGTCACAGAATACTGTACTGAGTGTTACACAGCTCAGGTGGAAAGGTATCCTGGAGCTCCGGAGCCAAGGACCACCACAGGTTGTAGTAAGCTTAGCAGCTTACAGCCCTGCTCAGGGAAAGGCTTCCCCAGTGTATCAGCTCTGCTCCAGCAGGAGCGGTTCTTCCAGCTGGGGATGTTTGCCCAGTGTAGCAGTTTCGCTGGGGGGGGGGGGAGTTGCTATAGTTCAGCTCTGCTCCTGGAGAGCAGAGCGAAGTGTAACAACTCCGCTGTGCCAAGGGATGTTTCCCCGGCAAAAGTGTTACAGCCCTGCTCACTCTGCTCTGCCCAGGGTTGCCTCTGCCCCGTTGCGGCCGCCACCCAACACCGAAGGGGTTTATTGGGGGCGGGGAAGTTTTTTCAGGGTAGGGATTGGTCCGATTTCAGTGCTAGAGCTCTGCTCGAGGATTGGTTAGGGTCAGATTTGGCTCTGGTTTCAGGGCCAAAGTGTGTTTCTTTGGCACTGGTTTCAGGGTCAGAGTACATTTCTTTGGTTCTGTTTAGCCATTGGGCTTTACGCACTCTTAGCCTCAGTATCCTCAGTATCCTTGTATCCATGTTGATGAACGGGGATGTTCACTCTGAACTGTATAACTCACAGTCATCCGTTGACCTATGTGTTTAGAAGCTGCACATTAGGTTGTAGATACGGCTCAGTGGTTGAGGTCCAGAGGTTAAGAGGTTCCATAGGTCCTGAGTTAAATTCCTAGAAACCATATGGTGGCTCACAATTATCTATAGCGAGATCTGATACCCTCTTTTGGCATAAGGGAATGCATGCAAACAGAGCACTCATATATAAAATAAGTAAAAAAAAATTTTTTTTTGGTTTTTGGAGACAGAGTTTCTCCGTGTAGCTTTGGTAGACCAGGCTGGTCTTGAACTTACAGAGATCTGCCTGCCTCTGCCTCTCAAGTGCTGGGATTAAAGACATGCCACCACTGACCAGCTAAAGAAACCTTAAAGAGGAAGAGGAGGAGGAAGGGAAGGGGAAGGGAAGGGGGAGGAGGAACAGGAGGAGGAGAAGGAGGAGCAGGAGGGGGGAGCAGGAGGAGGAGGGGGGAGCAGGAGGAGGAAGAAGGGGGAGCAGGAGGAGGAGGAGGAGCTGTAGAGAGCCGGGTAGTGGTGACCATGCTTTAATCACAGCACTCAGGAGGCAGAGGCAGGCAGAGAGTTCCAGGACAGCCAGGACTACACAGAGAAACCCTGTCTCAGAAACAAGCAAACAACAAAGCAGACCTGCACACTGGCCGAGCTGAGTGGCTCTGGCCTCTCATGTCAGAAGGTTTGCTGCAATGTCAACATCACCCTGGGTTACATTGTGAGATCCTGTCTCAAAACTCAAGACAGCACAAATAAAAGCTTCAGGCTGAGTTCCCCTCCTCCTACTTCCAGATGAAACCTTAGTTTTGGCCCAGTCACTCCTGAGCTGTTTTTGCTGACAAACCTCCCGTTTGTGCTAATTTGTTAGAGTAGCCATGGGTCACTAACCCTCATGGCATTGCTGTTCTTGGACAGACAGACAGTTTCCCACCCTTTGTTACAGTGGATAGCCTTAGAGGACACTCTACGCACGTGTCCCTGTACGGAACATGTGGCATTGTCCTGGCTAATTTTCAGTTGTCACATGGGGAAGTTAGTACTGACATCTAGCAGGTGAAAGACAGGGATGGCGGAAACCGTTCAAAAGAGTGCAGGGCAGTCCCTTTACCCCACTCCTGATGGAGCGGTGCTGATGCTGTGACCGGCAGTGTTAGAATAACACCCATTCCTAGAAATGCAATTGCTGAGCCAAAAGGACGTGTGTCCTTGAAATACTACGGGCTTTGCCAAGTTCCCGAAGTTCATCTGAAGCTTCAGAACCCATTGTTTCACGGGTAATGTCTCAACCTCTGTGTAGCAATATGCCACCTCTGAGGTGGTGGTTGTGAGTGGTGTGTGTCCACTTGAGCCCTAGGGATAGGAGTTCCCTAAGCCTGGAGTCAGCTAAGTGCAGGGGTACAGAGACAGGCTTGTGATTCACTAAACAGAGAAACAGCAGTATAGCGTTCATAGTCTGGCACCAGCTATGTGTTAGACACAGGGATGAAGCTGAGAAATTCTTGTCCTCCCACAGTGAGGTGGTTTGAAAGAAAATGGCCTCCTAAGAGGGTGGCACTATTGGGAGCTGCACCCTTGTGGGAGAAAGTGTGTCACTGTGGGAGTGGGCTTTAAGGTTTCCTATGCTCAAGCTAAAACCCCTGATCAGGATGCAAACCTCTCAGCTCCTTCTCTAGTACCATGTCTGTCTACATGATGATAATGGACTGAACCTCTAAAATGATAAGCCACTCCAATTCCGTGTTTTCTTTTATAAGAGTTGCCATGGTCATGGTGTCTCTTCACAACAATAGAAACCCTAACTAAGACACATAGCTCCCTAGTGCAGAAGAAAATAAACCATGGGACACAGACATAGCAAGGCCTGAGGACAGTAAGGGGGAACCCTGGGAATGCAGTACACTCGGCAGAATGCTTAACCAGCATGCACAAATCCTTGGGTTTGATCTCCAGCACAGAGAAACTGCCTTCCTCTGCCTGTAGTGTGCTGGGGTTAAAGGTATATGCCACCATGCTCAGTTCAACATTTTTTCTAAGTTAAGGATGCTGTCCTAGTTAGGGTTTCTATTGTGATGAAACACTGTGACCAAAAGCAACTTGGAAAGGGCTTCTCTGGCTTACGTATCCTGAAACACAGTCCACTGGGGGAAGCCAGGGCAGAAACCTGAGGCAGGAGTTGATACAGAGGCCATGATTGGGTGCTGCTTACTGGCGTGCTCCATATGGCTTGTTTAGTCTGCTTTCTTTTTTTTTGGTTTTTGGAGACAGGGTTTCTCTGTGGCTTTGGAGGCTGTCCTGCTAGTCTGCTTTCTTATAGAACCCAGGACTATTAGCCCAGGGCTGGCACCACATAAAATGGGCTGGGTCCTACCCAGTCAGCCATCAATTAAGACAATGTCAGCCATCAATTAAGACACTGTCTTTCACACTTGCCTGCAGCCAGCCCAATCTTATGGAAGCATTTTCTTCTTTCTTTTTCTTTTTTCTTGTACCAAGTTGACATAAAACTAGTCAGCAGCATACTTCATGGAAGGTATGAGTTTTGTTTTGTTTTAAGGACTTTCTAAGATTTATTTTATGAATGAGTGCTTCATCTGCACATACAACTTTGTGTCAAAAGGAGGTATCAGATCCCACTATAGATAGTTGTGAGCCACCATGTGGTTTCTGGGAATTAAAGCAGCCATTGTTTTAAAGGCTGAGCCATCTCTCCAGCCCCTGAGGTATGAATTCTTAAAAGATTCATTTTAAT